CCGACAGCTGTGATACGCATGAAGAGAGACTTTGATGAATTTATCTCAGGATCTAAGCAAAATAGGAGTGGCATTAACTTTAATTTGGATCAAGATATCACAGAAGATCTAGGAGTACAAAACTTCCCTCATTCCGTATTTTCTGTCAATTCCTTATTAGGTATAATTAGTTTATAAATTGATGTCTAAAAGATACATTATGAGTGACCTTCAATATCCTAAACAAAAGATGTTTTGAAGACAAATGATTTGTCAAAGTTGCAAGTAGCTGCTATTGCAGAAAAATTACACAGCCGGCTAATGTGGATTATTCAGTTTTTCTTTAGTAGCTTCCGTTTTAATTCCTATACTGACAAAGAAAGCATTTTATTGTTTGATTGGCTATGCTCATCTCTTGACATTTAGTTCATTGATTGAATGTGGGGTCACAAAAACCGTATCATGATGGTAATTGGTAAGATGTCAGTGTCACTGTGCCCCCTCCCCATATGGCTGATGCATATTTATACCCCCCGCAAATGAAGTTTGGGGGGTATATAGGAATCACCTTGTCTGTCTGTCTGTCTATCTGTCCGTCCGTCTGTCTAGCTGTCCGTCTGTCTGTGCAAATGTGTCCGGTCCATATCTTTCTTACGGAGGAACATTAGTACCTACTACTCCACACAAAGATTGCCCATGACCTAAGGATGTGTCATGACCTTGACCGAAGGTCATTTGGGGAAGTTCAAGGTCACTAGAGGAAAAAATTAATTATTCAAGTCCGGTCCATATCTTTCTTCTGGATAAACTTGGTAGGTTCTAATTTCACACAAAGATTGCTCATGACCTAAAGGTGTGTCATGACCTTGACCCAAGGTCATTTTGGGAAGTTCAAGGTCATTGGAAGAAAAAATTCATAATTCTTGTCCTGTCCATATCTTTCTTATGGATAAACTTGGTAGGTTCTAATTTCACAAAAGATTGCTCCTGACCTAAGGATGTGTCATGACCTTGAACCAAGGTCATTTGGGGAAATTCAAGGTCACTGGAAGAAAAATTTCATAATTCGTTTCCGGTCAATATCTTTCTTATGGATAAACTTGGTAGGTTCTAATTTCACACAAAGATTTCTCCTGACCTAAGGATGTGTCATGACTCATTTGGGGAAGTTCAAGGTCACTGGAAGAAAAATTTTATAATTAGTGTCTGGTCCATATCTTTCTTTATTATGGAAAAACTTGAATCTACTGCTTCACACAAACATTACTGAGGTTTTGTTATGACTTTGAACCAAGACCATTTATGCATGTTCAAGGTCACTGACAGAAAAAGTTCATAATTCGTGTCTGGTCCGCATATTTAGTCTATTTTTTTTATTAGGCTGCGCCTTCGTTCCATTTATAAAAAACATAATGAACAATTAGCCGGTACATTTGCACTAAAAATGTTTTAGCATTTCTCTCTTCTCTTAGATCTAAAATGTTCATGATTTAGCACTTCTGAAAAACCCAGCGGGGGTATTTTGTCCCGTTTGGACAGTTCTAGTTAGTGTTTTTCATGTCCATCCCTCAATCTGTTTAAAATCAGATCTTTGTTATGACTGTTATGAATCACAGACTTGCACGTAGGTATATTTTTCATGAAGCGCTAGCATGCTTCATGAAATATGCCTACGTGACAAGTCTGTTTGATTCACACACCAATAACTCACACAAAAATTTTAAAAAAAACTATTTAAGGTATTGTCATACCGGTAAGTTTTTTTGTTTGTTCGTTTGTTTGGGTTTTTTTATGCATACATGACTTTATACAGTTGCCTATTAACTGTGCCAGCTATATCAGTACATGTTAGATTGAGACATTCATTTTTTTTTTCAGAGAAGGAAAGAAAAGTAAATTTATTGAAGGACATAGAGTTAAAGAAAGCACAGTGTGAAATTAATAAATTAAAAAGTGAACTGGTTTCAGAGCAAACATCTAGAAAAAGATTCAGGATAGAACTAGAAAAGGATTTAAATTCATCAAAGGGAGAAAAAGAGGTAATACACGAATGTGGACTAGAGATAAAAAGTGACTTCACATAGTTCCTAGATCAGATAAAGTAGGGTAGAGTTTACGATATACCAGTGAATGCAAAAGCCAACCACCCATGTTTCTTTTTCTGAATTCAGACTGATAAAATAAAAGAACTTTATTCGATAATAACCAATATTTGCCCCCCAAATCAAAGTTTGACGGAGAAATCTTTAATTATGTTCTTAAACAGGGGGATATATGCTGACTTCAAAGCACTGAATATTTCATAAGCTATGATGTCAAATGTTTGAAATGACGTCATGAAAATGACGTAAATTTAAAATTTCCATGATTTCTACAGAAAAATATATATATTACGTTGATATTTTGAGTAAAAGTCACCAAGCGCAGGTCTGATCAGGCTCAATAATTTGATATAATGTGTAGAATAATAATATAAATGAAATATGTAAATATTGTTCCTGAGCAAACTTAAATTTCTAAGCAAAAATTGTGGAAATTCTGTCCATTTTGTCCTCTTTCTAAAAAATGAAACAAAATCGGACTAGTTTGTGACGTCATAAAAATAAGAATTGTCAATAAACTACTTTGAAATTATGATATGTTCTGTTATTTTATATTTCTGATACAAGTTATAGAATTCAGCACATTTCAAGAATTTTTCGAAATTTTAGTTTTGTTGGGGCAAAGATAAGATATGCAGTATACCGCATATACGGTAGTTCTTTCCTTTTTTTTCTCCTTGTGTTATAAATCAGTGTTTTATGAAATGAATCTATTTTTATTTATAGACTTGGATAAATTTATCTTTGTACAAAATTATTTATATTTAATTATTTCAACTACATGTATTATGTATTCTAGAGAATTTCTCTGATTAAAAAAATATACATGTATAGAAATACATGATATTACCTTTGAATCTTACAAACAATTGAGCAAGGTATTTCATCTTTAGAAATGGCATTTATCCTATAGAAACATGAAGTGCATGCTTTATTTCATCACTAAGAGAAGAGAGTCTAGAAAATGTTTTGGAGATAGAGGAAAACCGAAAATTATTTTTTAAAATGTTTGCTTTTTCTCTCATTGCGGATTTGCTGTTTATTTTGAGGTAAAACCTTTTATTTATTAGAGATTGGAGGAAAAGGCTAGGGAAGTGAAGAGTCAGCTGTCCTTATTGTGTGAGAGAGAAAAGAAAGCAACAACAGAAAACGAAGAAGTCAGAGCAGAACTTATTCAGAGAAAGAAACAGTATAATGACAGCTTATCTGTTTTACAGACAGATGTCCATAGGTTGAAGGAGGAACTACAGCAGGTACCATGTACTCTGTAATAATTACTGGCCTTACAAGACACATATACTGTGAAATCACTGATTTTTAGCTCACCTGAGCCGAAGGCTCAAGTGAGCTTTTCTGATCACATTTTGTCCGTCGTCCGTCCGTCCGTCTGTAAACTTTTCACATTTTCGACTTCTTCTCAAGAACCACTGGGCCAATTTTGACTAAACTTGGTACAAAGCATCCTTGGGTAAAGGGGAATTTAAATTATTAAAATGAAACATATCCCCTCGCAAGGGGAGATGATAGGGTGGGGTCATTAAAAAATCTTCTTTCAAGAACCACTGGGCCAGTAAAGCTGAAACTTATGTGGAAGCATCCTGGGGTAGTGTTGTGATTTTTAAATTGTTCAAATCATGACCCCCAGGGGAAGGGCGGGGCCACAATGGGGAATCAAGTTTTATATAGAAATATATAGGAAAAATCTTTGAAAATCTTCTTCTCAAGAACCACTGGGCCAGAAAAGCTGAAACTTATGTGGAAGCATCCTGGTATAGTGTAGATTCTAAATTGTTCAAATCATGACCCCCGGGGGAAGGGCGGGGCCACAATGGGGAATCAAAGTTTTACATAGAAATATATAGGAAAAATCTTTGAAAATCTTCTTCTCAAGAACCACTGGGCCAGAAAAGCTGAAACTTATGTGGAAGCATCCTGGTATGATGTAGATTCTAAATTGTTCAAATAATTACCCCCGGGGGATGGGTGGGGCCACAGTGGGGAATCAAAGTTTTATATAGAAATATATAGGAAAAATCTTTGAAAATCTTCTTCTCAAGAACCACTGGGCCAGAAAAGCTGAAACTTATGTGGAAGCATCCTGGTATAGTGTAGATTCTAAATTGTTCAAATCATGACCCCCAGGGGAAGGGCACAATGGGGTATCAAATTTTTACATAGAAATATATAGGAAAAATCTTTGAAAATCTTCTTCTCAAGAACCACTGGGCCAGAAAAGCTGAAACTTATGTGGAAGCATCCTGGTATAATCAGATTCTAAGTTGTTCAAATAATGACACCCGGGGGAAGGGCGGGGCCACAATGGGGAATCAAAGTTTTATATAGAAATATATAGGAAAAATCTTTGAAAATTTTCTTCTCAAGAACCACTGGGCCAGAAAAAGTGAAGCTTATGTGGAAGCATTCTGGGGTAGTGTAAATTCTAAATTGTAGGAATCATGACCCCCGGGGGAAGGGCGGGGCCATTATAGGGAATCAAAGTTTTACATAGAAATATATAGGAAAAATCTTTGAAAATCTTCTTCTCAGGAACCACTGGGCCAAAAAAGCTGAAACATATGTGCCCATGGAAGGATCATGGGGTAGTGTAGATTTCAAAATGTCTAAATTATGATCAGTGGGGTAGGGTGGGGATGCATTATGTATAACAAGGGTGAAATCTGGTAAAGAACAGAGTGGTCAAAGCTTCTCAGGTGAGCGATGTGGCCCATGGGCCTCTTGTTTAGGGGTGGATTGGGGTGGATTGTGATTTTTATTGTTTCCATAGTATGAAGAGAATCAACATGTCCTCTTTGAGAATTTTAAAACTACAATTTCATTTCCACTATATCAAATCTCCCAGATGCAATTTTTTTCTCAACACAAATATTTGAAACCCCCATCCCCCATCCCTCACTCCCACCCCGGAAAAAAGAAAAATAAATGGAAAAAATTAAGTGATTTTATTAGGGATGGCAATAGAATATACAATTACTAGTCGGTTAACCGCAAGACGTTCCAACCGATTAACCGGTTAACCATATCATAATATGCATTTTCTTGAAGAACATTACATTTTCTAAGTAGCTCCATTTATCATGTATACAAGAAAACTGTTGAGTCTAAATGTTAATCATTTTATTTGTATTGATTCTTACTTTAAAAACCCACAAAAACTTACATGTGTATATTTTATTTCAGTTTCAATATAGACTTTAAACAAAAAAAAAAAAAAAATTAAGAAAAACCGCGAATCATGTCTTAGAAATTATTGTTATTTTTCCAAAGTATTTTTCACATATGTTCAAACTAAGATTGAAATACATCACTTAATTTACATAGTTTGTTTAATAATTTATTCACTAGATAACTACAAAAAAAAAACAATTCGCAGTTCTCCTAGGTGATTTAATTAACATTAGAGAAGTACTGGACATTCAGGGTAATGACATGGTGTTTTAACAATAATTAAAACTTCAAACAAAAATGACCAGTTACCCCGAGATCCCAATCCCGAGAACCATAATTACATCAAAGTCAACTTGGATATGTAAAATCGCCGAACTATCAACGTTTATGCAAAAAGTTATTTTTTTAAAAAAGAAACCAAATTAGGTTCAATTTTATACATATATTTTATTTTTTCCGACTAACCGATTACAGATTTTCTAACCGATTACCATCGTTTCGCTCGAGTAATCGATTAACCGGTTACAAATTGCCATCCCTAGATTTTATATTACAGTAATATACAAAGGTAGAACTGAGGGTATTGTCATTGTCATATCAATTTATTATATAAGTATACCTTTAATTTTGGCTTATCAACATCAAAACCTTTATTTTAATGGTAAATACAAGTATATGCATAATTACCGGTATATGAATTAATGGGTATGTGATATTTTGTTGAGTTAGAATTATTAATCGGTTGTTTATCTTGTAGACTAGGGAATCAGCAGCAGAGGAGCAGAAAGGACTCCGTAATCAATTATTTCAGGTTCAGTCGGAGCAGAGGACCTCAAAAACTGAACTAGAGAAAACCCAAGCACTTCTCAGTCTTCAGAAAAAGTATGATAAATATTTATGATATCCTAGTGTTTTGAAGTATAGTCATAATCTGACAATACTTAACACATTACCCACTTCAGTCCTATGTAACATATCAGTACACAGTGTCACTAATATCAAGTGCATGAAACACATCTTCACAACACAGGCATTTGGGATATGGAAACCCCACCCACCCCACCCCTTTTTCCATTTTTAGCTCTTCTGAGCCAAAGGCTCAAAGAGCTAATGCCATGGCCATTTGTGCGGTGTGCGGCTTGCATAAACTTTTTAGAAAATGGGCTATAACTCAAGAACCCCTTGTCCAATCATTGTCAAATTTGTCACAGGGTATCCTTGGGCAAAGGGCTACCATTTTTACTAAAACTAGGATTGGGACCCCTAAACAAGGGGAGATAATCAGGAAAATAAAACCCAAAGTACTAGTTGCTAAAAAATATTCTCTGTAATCACCGTGCAGATTTTCACCAAACTTACATACAAGGATCAGGATATGTTGAAGATTAAAATTTGCACGGGGAATTACCCTGGGGCAAAGGGTGTGGTCTCAAGGACACCTCAAAGTTGTCCAAAATTTACACTTATTAAAAATGTTTATATTTTGCTTACTATAAAGACTAGGATCATCAAATCTTGTAAGTTGATGCATCTTAGGACTTCACATCATGTTAACTCAAAAGTAGGTTACAGTGACCTACTTTTTGATTTTCCGGGTATTTGTTTTCAAATTAATTTTGAGGCATATTTTGGACACTTTAAGGCCATGATCATCAAACTTTGTCAGTTGATGCATCTTGGGTATTTGAACAACATCAACTTAAAAGTAGGTCACCGTGACCTAGTTTTTGAATTTTATGGTTAATCTTTTCTTAAACATTTAATCCCATTATTTCAGATACTGAGAGGTTTAGAGTCATCAAATCTTGTAAGTTGATGCATCTTGAGGCTTTCAAACATATTTATAAAAAAAAGTAGGTCACTGTGACCTACTTTTTGAACTTTGCTGTCATTTGTTTTCAAATTGTTTAAAAGGCATATTTTGAATACTATTAGACCTATGATCATCAAATTTATCAGTTGATGCATCATGGGTCTGCAGAAAATGTCGACCAAAATGTAGGTCAGGTTGACATACTTTCGACATTTTATGGCTATATTTAAGTATCTCAGATACTTATTGGCTTAGGATCATCAAACTTTTTCCGTTGATGCATCTTGGGTTTTTGGAGATTGATGACCTTTTGACTTTTATGGCTCTATTTAATTATTCTCAGGTACTTATTGGCTTAGAATTGTCAAACTTTGTCAGGTTGATGCACCATGGGTTTTGGGAGAATGTTGACCAAAAAGTAGGTCACAGTGTCCTACTTTTGAATATCTCAGGTACTTATTGGCTTAGAATCATCAATCTTTGTCAATTAATGCATCTTGTGTCCTCAGAAAATTTCAATCAAAAAGTAGGTCACCATGACCTACTTATAGTATTTTATAGCTATATTGAAATATCTTCAGTCTTAACTGGCTAAGAATCATCAAACTTTGTCAGTTGATGCATCTTGGGTCTTAGGATAGATTGTATAATTAATCAGAAGAGCGATTCAAGGCCCTTGGGCCTCTTGTTTTTTAAATCAGGGACAAGTCTCCTTTTCCTTATTTTTGTCTCTCATAATACCTATACCTTTCTCACTTATTATATATACCGGTATATCAAGCTTAATTAACTCTATAAACAGTATTTTACATTACTCAAAACAATATTTCCATTTCTATTTGTTTTCTCTGTGATAACTCTTTGAAAGTTGGCTTATTTGATTTCTTTATAATTCTACCGGCATGCAAATTTTGCCAAGCGATACATCAGAAGCTAAGGAGGCCAGACGTGCATGTAAATCTTGTGTGTCTATCATTGTGTGTGATGCTGAGAAGGTCTAATATGCATGTAAATCTCGTGCGGCTGTCTTTGTGTTTGACATCAGTGGGCAGGGACTATTGAAATTGACATGGGAAGCCTCAAGTAAATTAAATCAATTGGACTACAATTTTAAAATCTAAATTTACAATTTTATTTCACTATGAAATGGAAATATAAAGAATCATTGTGTGTAGTTAGACTGGTAGAGTATTCAAGAGACATCAACAATAGTTGGAGACATGGGATAATTTTTTGTCAACCAGCTTTCTTTATGTATTTATCACATATCTCACTTATTACTTGTTTCATGTGCATTTTGACAGAATGACTATGTTCTCTTACTTTTCATCCTACAACTTTTTTTTATCAAATCTCTATTTCATTGGTCATTTAGAGTAATGTTGATCCGATTCACTGTGGTCAGAATCATATGCATGGATTTAGTTCATGTACCCATAAAAGTGTGTGATTTGACATAAAATTTAATATATAGAAAGTCTACAAATATTTAATTACCAGTATTATTTTCCATTGAAGTTTGACAAAAGACTTGCAGATGAAAATTGATGATCTGAACCAATATAAAACCAAATCTGAAAAAGCTGAGCACAGAATCAAGGTAAACAAATATGTTAATCATGAGAATACATAAACTTCTTGAGAAAACTAGGGATAAAATTTGATATTTTATTTAGAATTGCACCAGTATGCTGTTGATAAAGGTAGTTCCTACATATGATTATCTTGTTGGAAATGAAATATAGGGCTGGGACGATATATCGAGATATCGATATATCGTGATACATGTGAGGACGATACGCATATCAATACATACGAAGAAATATCGAAATATCGCCCCCCAAAATCTTACTTCTATTTTTCTTTGTTTATATAACATTTGGGGTTTAATATATAAAGTAAATAAGATAAATAAAAATATATGTGAAATAAATAATAATTTACACCACTTGAGTAAAATATTTTTGTTTTACAACATATAAACAACTATTTTGAATAAATTATTCTTATTTGCAAAGAAATAATTTGTTTATTTCAATGCAAAAACAGATTTTATAAGCAATTAAACTTATCGTGATACATATCGTATCGTGGATCAAATATCGTGATACGTATCGATATAGAAAAAGTTGTATCGTCCCAGCCCTAATGAAATATGAGCATTAATTGTGGCCAATGAGACTCTTGTTTTCTATTATTAAATGCCTGTCTGTGATGGTTAGTATTATGGTGTGGCAGTCTTGTCCATCCTTCTGTTTGTCAGTTGGCTTTTTAGTACCTTTCTCATAAACTAAGTAGTGTGAGACCTGGATTCATTTTAAGAAGTAGTTTATTTGGTTGTACATGTAATATTTGTAGGAATTAGAATTTAAAATCAGCCAATCAGAAGAGGATGCTGTAGTTAATAGGTCAATGAGAGAAAAACTGGTCTCTGTAGCAGGGCTCGAAAAAGGCATTCAGAAATTAAAAGAAGAAAATGCTCATCTAAGGTTTGTTTGATATTTTAAATTTATTGACTGCAGTGCACTTTTTACCTTCTACTCAGTGCACCAATTCAATCTTACTGGAAAAGGAAGTCTTTCTTTGAGTCTGCTTATAACTTTTAAGCTGTATTACATCATTTCATAAATGTACTAATGTGTATTGATTGTATGCGAAATTGCATATTGCCATATTCACATATATTTAACGTTATTTTCTTTGAGAATCATTGGCTTTGAGATTCATTGGTTATAGGGAAATCCAAGAAAACAACATTCTTTTGAAAGAACAGGCAGAAAACATGAAACAACAATTAGAGAGGAGTGAAATTCGATGTGAAAGGTTGTCTCAAGTGGAAGCTGAAAATGAGGTACTAAAACTTAAATTGATTTATCGTGAAGTGCACAGGTTCTTTATAACAATGTTAAGTAGCTTATCAAAGTAGTTAAACAAACTTTAACTTATTTTAGTAAGTTATAGTTATACAGAACTTAATGTGAATAAAATAAATATGTGTGGAAAACAGTACAACTCAACAGTGGTCATTATTTACTAGGGATGGCAATTTTTATCCGGTTAATCAGTTAATCTGTCGAAACGATGGCAATCGATTAGAAAATCTGTAATCGGTTAGTTGGAAAAAATAAAATTTATGTAAAAATGGAGACAGTTTTCTTAAAAAAAATTTTTATACAAAAAATTCTGTACCAAGTTTGATAATTTAGTGTTAAGGGATCTATTTAAGATGATTTGGCCCTCCGTACTGAGATTTTGCCTTAACTGTGAAATACAGGTAAGAAAAAGTTAAAAAGTACTAAGGCGAAATGGGAATTGTAGTTTTTCTTAATATTATCTTTGGATTGATACAAAATTTAAAAGATAAAATTTTTAGATTGAATTTAACAGTTAATGGGAATTTATGAATACAGTGAATGAAACAATACATTTAATACGAAAAAATACTTGATGCTAAATATATTAAATCCTCATCACCTGATTCACCTGAGAGCTTACTAAGGCGAAATGGGAATGCTAAATTTTACAGTTAAGGTGAGATGGGAACAAACCAGAGCATGGGGTAAATTGTCAGTTAATATGTATAGTGTTAATTCTTTGAAAACACCATTTTTTAACGATAGTAATTGAATCACTCTTAGCAGTAATGGATATATGCCGAATACTGTTCTATATGTAAAATTATCAGACTGTTTGAGGCCCGTTAGGGCCGAAAACTGTCTGATAATTTTACATATAGAATAGTATGAGGCATATATCTTACTTAAAACATTGCCATTTAAATGTCCAAAAGTTACCTGGAGGAGTCTGATAATAACACAATGGGAGTTTAGGCATCCATTGTTTTCTACCTGTCTGATAAGTAGATAAAAGAAATGAGACAGTAAAAATAGTGAGTGAACTCTTGTTTCATTTCATTCATTCAATGGCAGTCGTTTAGTTTAGCAGGACAGGGGTCCGGTGGTGTAGGATTTTTTTTTTTTTGGGGGGGGGACATTTTTATTTATGATGTGCATAAATTGACATTGATACTGACATAATCTTGGGAGATATTATAACCATCACCATGGAAAGTAAAAATGCAGATTTTTACCCTGAAGTTTTAGTTTAGCTGTTTAGATAATGGAAATATTCTCAGGTTTTAAAAGTGTGGCCATCGGGGACCAAACATAAAATAAGGAGATCTGCAGACTCTTTTTCAGAAATGGATTTAGATTCGCTTATTCAAAGTGCTGTATCAAAAATTCTTTTAAAGAGTGGAAAGTATTAATGTTGTGGAAGGTTTAAACTCGGATTTTTTTTCATGGATTTGCTATTTTTATAGCAACTTAATTTCTTTGCATTTGCTTTCCCTGAATTTTTTTCCTAACATTCTTATTGGGGGTTTCTGGACATATTTAACCTTAATTTCACTCTTCTTTTTGCTTTTTAAATACCGTCCGATTTTGTTATCATTGCTGTCCGATAATATATTATCAGACTGGTAATTATTATTATCGGACGGTTACAGGTAAATTTTTAGACTGCAAGAACAAAGGCATGACGTCACAGCAATGTTTTAAGTGTAAATATACGTTTGCAGTTAGGCCAACATATCCAATTAAATTATTAAACAAATATTGTAAATGCTTTTTGAAAGATCAGACAAAAAACATAAATGACATTATTAAAGGGCTAAAATTCAGATTTAGTTTTGATGATGGTGACAATGTATAATGAACTTGTGTGACATCTGCTCTGGAGAATTATCAATGATCTTAAGCTTTTTTCATGAATTTCTTAATTTAATAATTTCCCCTAAATTTATTTAAAAAACATACTTGTAGTTTTATGATCAAGAATCAAGAAGATAAATGGAATGGTTTTAACTTCTCATCTCTAGTCTTTTTGTGTATACGGATAGAGTGACTTGAAAAAAAAAGATCCAGAAAATGTGCATTTAGATAGGATTAACCGATTAATCAGATGGAATGTCTTACGGTTAACCGATTAGCAATTCTATATTCGATTGCCATCCCTTTTATTTACCCTCAAAATAAAACCCGAATAGAGAAATCTATAATGTTACTAATTAACAACTTACAAGTACAATATTTGTTGAGTTAAAAATGAGCATGATAAATTGTAGGAATTAAAAGAGAAACTGCAGAAATGGGAGGAGATCAAGGCAGAGAATGGATCGCTTCAGTAAGTCCTAATACTGGCTTCTGTCTACGTCCTATTGGTTAATTATCAGTCATTGTAGAATAGTGGTTGAACATTTACTTTAAGATGAAGAGATCAGGATTCATTTCTCTGTCTATATAAGGAGGGAAACATAGGAAGTAACTGTTCCTTCACCAAATTCCTAGCAGTTCAGGAAAATTATAAAAACTAAAATTTAGCAAATTCAAAGTATATACTGTATAAGTGTAAATTTTAGCGAGTCGCAAATTTAGCAATTTATCCTCAAAAGGTGGTATTCAATTATTAGCGAGATATAATGTTAGTGATTTAAAAATGCTCACTTAAGAAGCTTTTACGTATCAAATGCAATTAATTTTTAGCGATATTCAATTTTAGCGATCTCAGCACCCTAGCTAATGATCCAAAATTAAATCCTCGCTAAAAATTCTGCTTATATGGTATATATGAGAAAGCAAAGAAACAATTACCAACACACTAGTTTTGTGAATTCATATTTAGTGATATGTGCATAGAACACAGAATTTAGTTCAATTTACAGATATTTTTCAGACAATTTCTTTTGTATTATATTTTATTTAAAAAATATTTGAAGCCCAGCTTTATCGAATCTGTTACTGATTCAAGGCCATTCCTTCATGGTATAGCTAGATTGAGTCTCATTTGAATGATATAAACATTTTTTTGCCATTCAGCAAAACACAAGAAAGTGTAACCTTTCTCTTTTCTGACTGATTTTCTTGTTTTGTACAGGACACCTACACAACTAAGCCAAAGATTAGCTCATTTACAAGAATCGCAGGCAATAATGTTAGAAAAGCAGGGACACCTCCAGTCAAGGTACATGAAGCTTAGACTGTAATTCAATACATTACAATAAATTTAAAGAGTAAAACAAAATGTGTTTGTAAAACACTATTAGCCCGACAACAACAAAGTTCCATAAAACTATTTTTAGCATATAGGTCACAGTCAAGGTAACAATGTCATTGACCTTGATGTTATTTGAAAGAACTTAATTAGTGGAGTACGCATGCTAAATATGTAGTTTTTATCTCCTATGGTTCAAAAGTAATGGTGAAAGTTCGAAAAAGCTGTTTTTAGCATATAGGTCACAGTCAAGGTCACAAGGTCATTGACCTTGATGTCATTTGAAAGAGCTTCGTTGAGGTGAGCTAAAAAAAAAAAAAGAAACCAATGATGTATGTAGACATATTTTCAGATAGTTATCTAATTATTTATATAAATGTACATTGGGGCATTTTCTTCTCATAGGTGATAAACATTCTGTTTTTTAAAAGACATACATGTATATGTACAAAATTTGGAAAAGACATATTGTAAAACATGAAAAATTTTTGTTAGGTATTAAAACTTCCACAATAATGCAGGTCCTTTTCAAATTTTGTACCCACCTCAAATTATGAAATTTGATTAGGGATGTCAACTAATATTCGAATATTCATTCGATGAGTTGATATTCGAATATAAATTTATGATTCAAATATTCGTTTTTAAGTATACAAGCATTAAACCGGTGCCAGACAACTCACCGAAAGACAGGTCACCGACAAAAGTGAAATTCGCGGAATAGACAATTCACCGACAATAGTGTCGGTGAGTAGAAATTCACGGACAATGTTTTTATAATAATTGTTAGATGAATAGATGTCGTGTTAATTATTCAGATATAATAAACATAATCAAAGATGTATTAAAAAACATGTATTTCTTTGTCTTTTTTGTATATCCATCAAAAAATTCATTGTTGGTCCAGCGCATACACTACGGATTGCTTCTCGTGAATCTGAGCAAGGTCAAAAGGGGTCGGCAATATTGGGTGAAGTTATTGATTTAATGGAAAAAAGATTTGAAAATGAATAAAAACGTTTATTCACATACACGATTTTCTCTAAATATTTGTTAAATTTCGATGTTTTATATATTCAGTGGATGATGTGTCTGTCCATGCCCCTTCTTTCGGTGACTTGTCGTATCGGCGAGTTTTATAGTGTCGGTGAAAAAAGTGTCGGCGAGTTGTCGTTCGGTGAGTTGTCTTTCGGCCACCTGTCATAGACCCGCATTAAACAGAGAGAAAAACCTGGCAAGTTTTATTAGAAATTGAATAAAGTTTGTACAAAATTAAAAAAAAACCACTCCTTTTGGATTACCTTAAAGGTGTGAAGAGTGTATCTATTAGAGTAGTTCATTTATTTGTTCACTTAATTAGTACATGTAGTATAATAGTTTCCAGTACTTACAATCTGCTTGTATTGTTGTAAGGACATAGTTTTACAGTAAACACACAGACCCCTTGTTTATGTAAATATCATTAAAAATCATTATCAGGAAATCATAATTAGCGAAAAGTAATTTCTTTTAATATTTCACCGTTAAATAATTGTTCTGCTTGGTATACATTTGTAGGAGTTATCAGTGTAGACTTTATTAAGACGATCAATAATTAATCTGGAACATACTAAAGAATCTTTTTAATTTTCTAACAATCATTACATTTGGGATGTATACTATTCAATATTTCTTTTAAGAAATATAATTGCAGACAGTTTTTATTCCAAATAATGGCATAAACTCTAACACTACTTGACAGGAGAGTGAAGATATATTGAATAATGCAAAATGTATATATTTTATCGAATATTCGAATATATTCGAATACTCTTATCGAATATTCGAATATCAAATTTTGACACTTTTGACATCCCTAAATTTGATATTTTTTTTTATTTGCCACATTCCTTATTTTCCTGTTTTAAATTAGCTCAGACATAGTTTTGTTTCAGAACTAATGTTCTTTTCCTTGAATTCACTCATTTTAAATTTGACCTCTTGCAATTGCAACAAAGACAAAAATAAAGACAGAGTCAAAATCTTAAATACATTTTTTAACTCTACTGGTCAGAGACCAGAAGAACTTATGTAATAGTAATGCGTCCGTCGTCCGTTCATCTGTCTAGCTGTCTGTCTGTAAACAATTTTTCAAAATGCTAATCCTCCTTCAGTTTTGGTCTGATTTCAATATAATTTGGCACACAAGTAAACTAAGATACATGATTTAGTGCATCGGTTTTTGATTTTGATTTTGATGAATGGTTTTGCCATGGTTACTAAAAATAAAAATTTCTATGAAATACTGTGAAATACTTTCAAAACACTACTCCTACAGTTTTGGTCTGATTTCAATATAACTTGGCACACAAGTAGACTACACTAAGATACATAATCCTATTTATTGCTGCTTGTTGCAAAGTTTCAAATCCAAGTGCTACTTTTCCTTTGGTACATATACAGACCAGTAGAGCTACAGTCTCATCAGAGACTTCTGGTTAATTAAATAATGGCCATAAAAGTGGTGATTTGAGAGTAACATCAAGAACTAGATTTGAATAGATCTTACCATTCTGCCAGTATGTTTTTTTTTCTTGTATTAACAGTGTGCATTTGGAAGAAATTAATCTTTTTTTTTTAAAAAAGAATAAAATTTGAAATAAAAAAAAATATGTTTAACAGTTTACATCTGAAAGAAGAGGAATTAAAAAAAGCTTTTCAAACACGTGAAGACTTAATTGCACAGCTCACCACGGAAAAAACCAGGACACAACAACAGACTCAATTCATCAAAAGACTTCAACGGAAGCTTCTTCTCATTTCTAAGGTATTTCATTTGAAAGTTTTTATTGAGATTTTATCTCCGCTGAACTAAAGATACATCTTTTGTTACATTAATCTATTCATAAATTTTGGTTCTTTTGAAAAGCCTAATATTGTTTGAACTTGCAGGAGAGAGATATGTATCAGGGATTGATAGACTCGTATCAGAGTGAGGTCACAGTCAACATGTCCATGATTGCATCATCACGGATCCAACAGTTAGAGGAGACGCTGGAGGGATACAGGAAACAGATGGAATCAATGGAGGCGGAGCTCACTAAGACACCTCCAGAAACAATGGCTACCAGTAAACAGGTTAACCGTCACTCTGTATTCATTCCAATAAAACAAATACCATCAATCTAAAAAAAATTATCTATCACAGCCATAATTTCTGATTAGGGACCAGTTTAAAGTTTTTGGAGCGGTTAATTTCTTTCTAGAGTGACAATAAGTCCTATGCTAATTAACTATAGATACATTTAAATTTACAGACAAATGCACAATTTAAATTTTTGGAACAGGTTTTAAAACCTAAGAAACTATTAGGCCTACCTTGACCAAACTTGCTGGATGATGCAATCATGTCTTAAGAGATGCTCATTACCAGTGTTGCTTCAGATGCTTGATTTGACCTACATTTTCTAGTACTGATATCAGATTAAAGGTTATGAACCAGGTTCATGACCAAGAAACTTTAAGGCACATCTAAACCAGATTTGCAAGGATGATGCATCAGAGGACACTCTCAATACTGCTGCAGATGCTTGATTTGACTTACAAATTTTTTTGGATGAGTGACCAGTTAAAAGTTTTTTAGACAAGTCCATTCCCAAGTAACTGCAAGTCCTATCAGACCCAAATTGCCTCTTGGGATGTACACTGCTAGCATGACTAGATGCAGTTTAGATTTAGTTTTAAGTTTTAGATTTAAGGATAACAATTGCTGAGGTGAGCTCTGTAATATCTGATTTATACTTACTCCTTTTCTTTTTTACAGACAACATCCAGTGTGGGCCCTCAGACTCAGGAAAAATGTGACCAAAATCTTATCTTGGAGTTAAGGTAATACTTTACACAGTAATAGGGAAAATCTGATTAAAATCTTATTGTACCATTTATCATCATTTTTTGTTTGAAATTACTTAATAGGGAAAGAATAGCATTCTTAGAAAAAGAGCTTGAGAAAACAATGGAAGAGAAATATACTTTGGAGGCTCGGATAGAACAGAAACATCTACAGGTAATGTGTTTAGTCTTCAGCATTCCCCAGTTGTTCTAGTTCTGTATTTTAGCATTGCTTCTCTATATTTTATTTGAGTATTTGTACTGAAATGTTTGAGTTTCTTTTTTATTTTATTTGTGGATTACATTAAGTAAGTTTAACTCACAGTTCCAAAGCATGGCAGGAGTAGGGTTTAACTTAGAAGAAAAATTTGTGTTAAGGAAACTTGAAAAATTAAGCACAAGACAACAATTTGTCAAATCATGAAAACATGCTTTTCTAGTGTAAATTGATGAACTAATTTTGACATGTTTTAAATTTCAATTTGACAAATTATCATTATAATGCTTAAAAGATCCAAGAACGTAGAAAAAGGATCAACAATTCTACAGTTTGTATGCTCATTTCCAAGCCTTAAAAATGTATTTTGTTCGACTTTTCATGGATTAAATAAGAAAATGTTCTGCCTGGCTATATATTGGGTGATGATGTATGATAGATCTGTATTAGGCTTGTTGTTACCATCAAAACATAAGAATTGTCCACATCAAGGTCATTTCACTAAACCAAGCTATACAAGTTATCTGTTGAGTTGCGGCTTCTTGACTTTGTTTATAATTTACATGGTGTGTGAAGATGCGTTTGAATTACAGCATATTCCACACAGTGCAGATTTTAATTGTTAAAATTTACCGTATTGTTTTAGGGAGACTTTGATCCCACCAAACTGAAGGTTCTACATTTCTCAATGAACCCAGCAGCTTTGGCCCAGAGAAAGAGAGCAGATGAATTAAAGAACTTGAAGGAAGAAAATGAGCGCTTAAGGAAGAGATTGGAAGTGTTGGAAGAATCAAAAGGCCAGGCTCAAGATGTAACACTGCAGGTAGAACAGAAAATGTCTGAGCCCTCCTCCTCCAGAGAAGTGGAAGAAATGAAGAAAATGCTGGAGACGGAGGAATTAAAAAACAAGAGGCTGTTGGAAGTGTTTAAAAAGACAAGCCAGGAGTTCAGGGAAGTCTGTTATCAACTAATGGGTTATAAAATAGACATACCATGTGCAAACAAGTACAAAATTACCAGTATGTATGCAGAATCACCAGAGGACTTCTTCATGTTTGAGGTAACTGTTGTTTAAGTTGTATCCTTGCCAACATTTTTAATGTTTGTATTTCTTTGGAGGTTTGATACTTATCATATACTTGGCTTTTTTTTAGCAATCTTCAGATGGAAAAGTTCAATTCCTAGCAACAGACTTCGCAGAAACCCTGCAGGATCATATAGAGACATACATCTCTAAGAATAACTCTATTCCAGCCTTCCTCAGTGCTGTAACTCTAGAGTTACTAAGTCGACAGACCTTCGCTGTCTGATGAAGACTTCTGTTAATGTTCTACAATCTTCTAATACGTTATAATCTATATTAAAATAAAATGTATGAGAACTTTTTGTTGGTCATTGTGGGTACATGTCCTTCTAGCATTCAACAGAGTAGCAGCTTACGTTGAGCTATGATCTCAGTTTGCTCATATAAAGTGCTTTAATGAAAATTCATACTATTAAAGCAGTCCATAGACCTAGATAATCATTATTTAACTTGGCTGGTACAATCTTGAAAGCAGCTCACAGATAAGTTTCAAGTGAGCTTTACTAATCTAAAAGCATTTGTCTGTGTGTTGTTTGTAAACTTTTCATACTGTGAACTCCTCCTCCAGAAATATTTCATTTTATAGTGTAGATCCACATTTATTCAAATCATGGATCCCTGGAGGTAGGATAAGTCCACATTGAGCAGTTTTACCTAGAAATACTTAGGAAAAATCTTCCCAAGAACAGCAAAACCATGAATTCTTACGGAATCAAAAATCTTCCCCAACATTACTTACTATTGGAAATGTTCAGCAAAACCATACAGAGAAATGATATCAGGGAAATATAGTATTGAATGCAGAAAAATTGGTACTGAAAGTCATTGTTGGCCTCTCTGGTTGCCCCCCCCCCCCCCCTTTCAAAAACGATGCTAGGTGGCTGCAGGTGGTGTAGATAAAAGTTCAAATATTGTTCAACAAGGATAGGGGTCGACCACAGAAATGCAACTTTTGAATAAGAATACACAGGAAAAAATATTAAATATATCAATGTAAAACTCAGAAATTGCACAAAATTTATTTCATCACAGGAATCACAAACAGGATTTCGTATTTTTTAGGTGGGCTCAGTAAAAAAGAATAGCCTTAAAAAATGTAATGACCTGTATAGAGGAATCAGATTAAATAATCATTTGTATCGTATATAAACTTATTTGTGACAATACATTAAAAATAAACTTCATGTATAATAAAATCAGATCATACCCTCCAAACATTAAAATATAGTAAACCCTCAAAAACATAACATGTATATGATTTTTTTTTTTGTTTTTGTAAAGCATTTGTGACTTGTGGGTGTATCACTTTTGGTCAATATTTTTTGTAATTGTGGTAAACTGCAATGGTATTCAGTGAGAGAGGAAAATCACTGATTTCAGTAACACACATGATCAAAAATGATACAACCACATCAAGAGCAGGACCTTTCAGATAACAACAACAAATATATTAACAACAAAAAAGGATTTCTATCTCAGTCAAATACTGTATAGCGGGTTTCTTTAGTGGGTATAAAATTTGGCATTTTGCTTGCTCATAGGAATGTCAATAATTTTGGCAGAATTTTTTTTTGCAGAGTTCTAAAACAATGCAAAAGGGAAGAAGTTCATCTTCTAGCCGACTTTCAGACTGTTTAATTATGTTTGGATACAGATTTACATACTAAGAGTTTGAGTAAAAATCAATACCAAAGGAGAGATAATGTTTAACAGTGACTGATCTATGATATTTTCTTGAATTCAGTACTTAGTCTTATACACAAGGAAGCAATTTTACAATTAAAATTTTAGTGGGCTACAGTAAATATGCTTATAGCAAACACGCTAATAATGAATTGACATTCCCTGTGGGTTTTAAAAGATAATATGAAGTTAACAGATATAATGTATCACATTTATAACAAAGCATAGCCATCTGTACCTAGCACGTTCAGTCATTATGTTAAGAGTGTTTCACTGTACTATAAAACTGCTAAAATAGAGATAATGTTTAACAGTCCGCTAAAAAATTCCGCTACATACACAAGTTTTACTTAAAATTTACTGGTAGGTAATGGTTATAGAGTTAATGACATTCCCTGTGGGTTTTAAAAGATACTGGAAGTTAAGGGATATAATGTATCACATTTATAACAAAGCATAGCCATCTGTACCTAGCACGTCATTATAAGAGTGTTTCACTGTACTATAAAGAAAATAACTGCGTAAAAAATTAACAATCAAAACACAATATTAAGACATAAGTACAAAAGTTTTTGTATGCCATACATTAAATTTTCTAATTTGAAAAAAAAGTTACCAATCATTCAATTATGAAAAAAGAAAACAGTGTCATTGGTCCCTCATTATTATCATCTCGAATATTAACAAATACCTAAAGTATAAGAAACACATCTGCAAAATTCTTAAAAGGTGGAGGTACATGTATCAAGACCAAAATATACAACCCTGAGGATGTACATGTATTGCACTACAGCATTGCAAGACACAAATATCAGACTTTGATCATTTTCACTTAATAACAAGGAAGTAAACTAACCGTTGATGAGTTTTTTTACATGCTGTAAATTTTACTCAAGTTTTAATGTATATCATTAATTTATTCAGAAATATTGTGTTGAATTTCATAACAGAATAAGGCTTAATACCTGTTTATCATAATGCCAAACAGATTAATCATACAGATTTTACAAATTCATACGTTTTATAGCAGATTACTGGTAATCAAGTACATGTATGGAAAATTTATCTTCTATTTGTTCATTTTCAACCTACAATGAATTTTGTAATGTGCCTATCAACACAGTTTTCCATTTGTAAACTTGCTAAATTCTTATCTGATGTTTGACCTTTCATCACAGAATTAGATGAAAGTTATTAGATAATGAAGCCCATATTTTTTTGGTACTAAAAATGATGATATTTGAAACCTTGATCAACATAATCTGGAAAATCTCTCAAACTTGAGAGGAAAATCTGCATTTCATACATACAACTCCTTTAAGTATTCAAAAGCAGGTTTTTTCTAAAGCTTCAAATTTAGTTTATGAAATTTGTTAGTTAAACACGAACTTTAACTTGGTAAAATTTACAGCAGTAAAAATAATGCATTATACATTAGTTTTTTTGTAAATACTGTTGTATCAATGAATAACAAATCCCTCAACTTGTCATACAACTAGGATTAAATTTTGCTAACCTTGTTAAGAAAATATGTAATTGTATAAAAATATGATTTCTGTCGTACAAAAATTACATTGATTCATCATAAAATGTTTTATCATTTTGAAACTGAGAATAATTCCTGACGTGTTAATTCAGGGTTAGTGATAAGGAGATCTTTTTACAATTTTTTTTTTTTTACAAATTTACTTTTTTGGGGGGGAGTGTTTAATATGAGTGAATGCTACTTATACTACCACCGTAACCAATAAGGAGATTGCTGACTGATAACATTAATTCCCAATGACTGGTCTTAAGATCCTCTTCAGGTAGTCATACAGCTGGTAATCATTGGTGTTGTACACATAGTCACCATATAACTGAAAGGCAGAAAGTCAAACTTAATAAAACATTCTTCTTCATATCAAGAAGATTAAACAACAATTTAACTTTTCTGAACAGGCAAGATTAAAAATACAAGAAATCACAATTAGCCAAGTAAATCTGTAATGAAATACTCAAGATTAGCCATTAAAGTCATTCTGTAATGAAATACTCAAGATTTAGCCATTAAGTAAGTCTTTAATGAAATACTGCAACGACAAACCAGTCAAAATACTTACGCACTGCTAAAATGAATCAGAATCTTTGTGAATAACCTGTGGAAAAAATAAACACTGTAAAATAATTTCATGTTGAAGAATTGTGACCTCACCCTATCATAGAGAGAGTCCTGGAGTTTTTGCTCCATCCTGCTGTCCAAGTCTAACTGTCTGCTGGAAACACATTCGCTTTGTCTCTCCGGCTGTTTACTGGAGGTGGGTGTCAGGTTAAAATCCACCACCTGAGCCTCCTCCATGTGTTTATTTGACACAGTAACACAGCGCTCCTCAGGATAATAGCCATCAGCAACAACTCGGATTCTGTAGTCTCCATTCATGAGTAAGCGATAGTAGTCACCCAGCTTTCCTACAATGAACAATATATATTACACTTCCAAAACAAATTAAATGTAAGTAAATAAATTGACTTTCAAAATTATGTATTACAATTTGGATGTGCGAAATGCAGCAGAAAAAAAATTGTCACCTTACATAATGTACACACAATTTTTTTAACCATCTTACGTTTAAAGCTTCCATACACATCAGATGTTATTTTTATTATTTTGAATTGTTGATATGACAAGGAATACAAGGAGAATGTGAACAGCCTAAGTACTGGTAATTGTGAACCCTGTATCCTACCTGAGAGGACATCATGCTTTATTGGTGACCCCGATGTCATATTTATCACCTTGATGGTAGCTTTAGGAATCTTTTTCCCACTGGACTCAACCACACCCTTGATACCAATATGTGCCTGTTTCAAGAAGTAAAAGATATTAACATAATCAACTTTTATACTAATCATAAATATGTATTGTCTCTGTTAATCACTTTTTATGCATGGGAACTTTATATTCATGTAATTATGCAAGAAAGTGTGCTTGCAAAAATATAATTCTTGTGTATATAAGAATTTCTTAAGATTATATAGAACAATAATCACAATTCTTGAAAATTTTGTATTGCTAATAAGAAGGAAATGTCTATCTTGCGAAAATGAGGTTTTGCAAAACTTAAGTGATGTACAGTAGTCAAATAATTCATGTTGTTTTATTTTCTCAAAAAAAAACCAAACTATTTGATGTTTGGGGACAATTTGTGTTAAACAAAGCTGAACATGTGGTTGCAACATATATGTGGATATATAGTTTTAAATTATCAATAACTTTTTGCATTGTACAAGACTTAATGTATGACAGTGACACCTGGAACATGTAATTGATGAGGGCTTCTCTGTTGTCCTCCCAGTACTTCTTCTCCTCCTCAGGGTACGGGAATTTGTCACAGCCCAGTTCCAGTGTGATCTCAAAGCAGTTTGTGGCCAGGTAATTAAAATCTTGCATTCCTATGATAAGAACAGCTTTGATAAGTTTACATACGTTCATCGATCAACGTTCATCAACCTATTGAAGGGAAAGATGATTGCAAGAGAGGTTAATTCATAGCTGGGGATATAATGCATGGGAAAGTTATGGAATGGTTACAAACAATAACATACTCTTAATATTAATCAATAACCCTTTCCCTCAAATAAATTTTCTCAATATTTTTTCCTTTTGATTTTCAATAAATGAGCAACCCCAATGAACCTGATTGTAGTGACAACAAAATACTGTTCTTATGTGTAACATACCACCAGAAACAGAGTACCACTTTGCTCCATTGGTAATTCCATCCTTAAATTCAGGCAGATCTTGGTCACCTGACATGTCACATGGTGTTCGCATTGGATCTGCCATAGATGGGTGGAACTTTGAGTAAGATTTTGCCAAATATCTACAAAAACATATGATAAAAACCAAAGGCCTCATACTTTGTCAGGTACAATTAAGATGCAAAGTAAAAAGATATTAGTGCAAAAGAATTTAAGATATTAAAATAATTGATAGTTGACAAACAAATAGAGGATATGATTCACAGTGGGAATAAATCAACACATAATAGAAAGATAAATTAACATGATAAAACACTACATAGGCAAGGCATAACAAAATAAAACGTATAAAGCTATTGAATAACTAGACCTTCCTCCATAACTTTCTCAAATTATATTTTTTTTCATTCAAATTCAAAGATTATTTAGGGCTATTCCAGAAAAATTGTATGGGAGGGTTGGACGGCACTTCATTTTTTTTGTATGGGTAATGGGGACTGGAGCAATTAAATTTGCGTGGGTGGTTGTCCTCATCCGATATATTTTTAGATGGGTGGTTGCACTTACCCTCACAAATAATCAACTGCAAAGAACTTCCTTCCTTTCATTTTGTATAAGCCAGTAAATATTGATATTTATTTTAAAAAAAAAAAAACGTCCTAAACAGTTGAGAAGTGTGTTTACATTGAAAGTGAAAGTAGAATCAAACAAACCAGAAACAAGGGTAGAAAATTATACAAGAGGCCCATGGGCCACATCGCTCACCTGAGAAGCTTTGACCATTCTGTTCTTTACCAGATTATCCCCTTGTAAAACATATTGTGACCCCACCCTACCCCACTAATCATAATTCAGACAATTTGAAATCTACACTACCCCAGGATGCTTCCACATAAGTTTCAGCTTTTCTGGCCCAGTGGTTCTTGAGAAGAAGATTTTTAAAGATTTTTCCTATATATTTCTATGTAAAACTTTGATTCCCCATTTTGGCCCCGCCCAACCCCCGGGGGTCATGATTCGAACAATTTAGAATCTACACTACCCCAGGATGCTTCCACATAAGTTTCAGCTTTTCTAGCCCAGTGGTTCTTGAGAAGAAGATTTTTAAAGATTTTTCCTATATATTTCTATGTAAAACTTTGATTCCCCATTTTGGCCCCGCCCAACCCCCGAGGGTCACGATTTGAACAATTTAGAATCTACACTACCCCAGGATGCTTCCACATAAGTTTCAGCTTTTCTGACCCAGTGGTTCTTGAGAAGAAGATTTTTAAAGATTTTTCCTATATATTTCTATGTAAAACTTTGATTCCCTATTGTGGCCCCGCCCTACCCCCCAGGTCATGACATGTACAAAATCTATACTACCCCAGGATGCTTTCATATAAGTTTCAGCTTTTCTGGCCTAGTGGTTCTTGAGAAGAAGATTTTTTAATGACCCGACCCTATTTTTGTACTTTCTTGATTATCTCCCCTTGGAAGGGGTCTTGGCCCTTGATTTTAACAATTTTAATTTCCCTTCTCCCAAGGATGCTATGTACCAAGTTTGGTTAAAATTGGCCCAGTGGTACTTGAGAAGAAGTTGAAAATGTGAAAAGTTTACAGACGGACAGACAGACAGACAGACGGACGGACAACGGGTGATCAGAAAAGCTCACTTGAGCTTTCAGCTCAGGTGAGCTAAAAAGTATTTTAAATTTAGACGGGTGGTTGTATTAAAAGTATTTCTAATTTGATGGGCGGTGGGGGAGAAAGCAATTAAAAATGTATGGGTGGTGGGGTGCCTTCCAACCCCCCCCCCCCCCCATACATTTTTTTCTGGAATAGCCCTTAGTAGAGACTTTTCTTAATACAAAAATGCAAGAGAAATAACATAATTAAGGCTTTTAGTCTGCTAATTTGTATGACAGCAGTGAGTGAGCATTGAAGGAGTTGATTATATTCCTTTACCCTCCCTAATTTTATCAGACTTAAACAACAATTAAACTGGACCATGCCCATCAGCTGGCTAGAATTACCTGAAGAGAACATCATCAGGAGAGGCTGAGTACTGTGAGGTCTTGCTGTAATCACGAGATTCATCATACGGGTAATTGGCCACCAAGTCCCCTCCATGGAGGTTTGAGGATAACACAAATGGAATAGAATATAACCACTTAATGACTGCTCTTGTCTCTGGGGCAAGATGCTGCAATATGAGAGTGAGCTTTATGGTAGAAGTATATATTATTACACAAATATAGCATATTATTACATTTATATTAAATATATTGATTACATTTTATAATAAATAGATTGCATATTAATTATTATAAATTTAGTTTTAATGTCTCTGAGATTGAAAGAAAATGAGGCATACTGTATGTGTCCTTAAAAAAGCAGGATTCATATTTTAGTGGCTTTGGTGCAGACATCGATGCACTAATTCATGAATGCCACTAAGAAATCATTTATATATAGAATACACTGCACGGTAATGTGTAGCACTAATTCATGATTACACCAATATCTCTATACCCAGTGATTGCGCTAAAATTTGAATACGCAAATTTATTTATCTATAGAAGATTAAAATTTTAAAATTCTTTATAAAAATACTCTATATTTAGTAACCACAACAGCACTGATCATCAAAATGAATGAGGCCATCAGCCACAATGCTCACATTAGTAACTATAGCCATTTTTATTTTTCACTTACTATTTCATATACTTATATTTACATTCGCTGTGTTTTTCTAGTAAGCCAACTATGAAATTGATTTGAAAACCATTTTTGTGTATACTCACGCGTAGAAGTATACACGGTGAAACGTGAATTAACATGATGTCACAATGAGGCTGCAGCGACGTTAGTAAATATGCAACGATATAGGGCAGCAAGAAATTCAAATATTTAGCATATTTTAGTTGCTTCCAAACATGTAAAATGTAAATACAAGAGGCCCACGGGCCTTATAGGTCACCTGAGTATTGTGTAACAACTTACAAACAATTAAATTTGGTTCATGTTTAAACCGGAGGCCATGAAATTCACAATTTACAATTTTGAAAGAGGCACCATTGCTTATCATAATTATAAACTTAGCATGCTTACTCTATTAATTAATACCCAGAGGTTGATGAGAGTAACAAAGCGAAAATGCACTTTCACTTTATATAGTTTTGCATGATAATTTTATCATAAAATGGTTGATTAATACCAAAGAGCAGATTTCAAAGCATTAATTTATTTTCAGGCTATGTAACCCCCCCCCCCCACCTTTGACACTGGGGGCATTAAAAACCACTTTGCAAGATGCACCTTTCTTCATCATAAATATATATATACTTGCATTGGCTTAAAACCCAGAAGCAAAGAAAAATATTTACAAAGAATAAATGTAACTATATAATCAATAGAGCCCCGACTTAACACCAGAACCCCTGACCCTGGGGCCATAAAATTCACAATTTTGGAAGAGGCACTCTTGCTCATCATAACTATGTGCTTAGTTAGTTAATCTAATACCCAGGAGCAGAGAAGAAGATTTTCAAAGAAATAATGCATTTTCACTATATAATCTATAGAGCCCCGCCCTAACACAGAACCCCTGACCCTGGGGCCATAAAATTCACAAATCTGGAAGAGGCACTCTTGCTCATCATAACTATGTGCTTAATTTGTTTATTAAATACCCAGGAGCAGAGAAGAAGATTTTCAAAGAAATAATGCATTTTCACTATATAATCTATAGAGCCCCGCCCTAACACCAGAACCCCTGACCCTGGGGCCATAAAGTTCACAAATCTGGAAGAGGCACTCTTGCTTATCATAACTATGTGCTTAGTTAGTGTATTTAATACCCAGGAGCAGAGAAGAAGATTTTCAAAGAAATAATGCATTTTCACTATATTATCTATAGAGTCCCACCCTAGCACTAGAACCCCTGACCCTGGGGCCATGAATTTCACAATTTTGGTAGAGGACTCAATGCTCATTACAATCATGCCAATAGTTTGCCTGCTTGATGTCCAGGAGTAAAGAAGAAGATTTTTAAAGATTTCATTAATTTTAGTGGTTTTGGCCCCACCCCTCAGGCCCCAGGGGGGCGGGGACCATGAAATTCACAATTTTTGTTCCCCTATCACCCATAGATGCTGTATACCAAATTTGGTTGAAATTGGTTCAGTGGTTTCAGAGTAGAAGCTGAAAATGTTCAAATGTTACGACGGACGAAAACGGATAGCAATAGGTCACCTGAGTTACTCAGGTGACCTAATAAGGAATGTTTTTCAGTTTAGTGTGAATTATTGGTGTGTGAATCACACAGACTTGCACGTAGTCATATTTTTCATGAAGCGCTAGCGCGCTTCATGAAATATGCCTACGTGACAAGTCTGTGTGATTCACACAATAACTCACACAAAACTGAAAAACATTCCTTAAATATATTCCATTGTAAAACTTTGATCACCATGTGGCCCTAATCTAAACTTGGGTCATGATTTGAACAATTTAGAATCTACTCATCATCAGGAACTGCGGAAGCTTCCCTAAAAGTTTCATTTTTTTCTGGACCAGTGGTTCCTGAGAAGAGATTTTTTAATTACCAAACCCTAATTCTGCATTTTCTACATCATACTGTAAACCAACTTTTATTTGCAACTACTTTATTTCACGATTTATCAGGGTTAAACTAGTTCGCGACGATTAATTTTCGCGATCAAGCTTTTTTGGATCTGTTGTTAATAGACACAGAGACTTTAAGGAGCTGTTTGCAGCGAGAAATATTCGTGATGCTGAGACTCTTGCGAACTTCATGAAAATTTCTCACATGCAAATAAAAGTTGGTTTACAGTATTCCATTGGAAGCTGGTTTGTCCAGTATTTGAATAATTAAGAATATTCTTTACACAAGGATGCCAATTTGTGTGGTTCTTGAGAAGGTCAAAAATGTGAAAAGTTTACAGTGAGCTAAAAATTCATTCATAAATAAATTAAGTATTTAATCTACCATAGTCTTTTCAGTTTCCTTGAATAATGCCTCACTAAATCAGACAAAAACAAACAATACTTACTGGTGTACTAAGAGCTTTGTTCAGTGTCATAATGTGATTGTTCAGTCCATCCTTCAGTTTCTCATATTTGTATTCTAACTTGTCCACTTCAGGAAAGTTTCTGTTCAAATCTACATTGTTTGCATTAGCTCTACCATCCAACCATGGCTTCTTACCATTCTGAAGAAAACAAAAATTTCAATTTAAATTTGACAGATTCTGAAGAAATGACAAAAACACATTAAAAATTACCCATTCAAGTCTTTTAAAGTTTCCATTAAATTTAAAACTGTTAATTGGACCAAAAATTTGTCATTTTATAATACCTGATTACCGATACAAAATATTCTTAAACAAGAGGCCCATGGGCCACATCGCTCACCTGAGCACTATGGCTAGGAAAAAGTAGAAATTGGTTTATTATTGAAAAGTTTAAATCCAAAAGTAGTCCCATGACCAATCATGGCTTTGATATTCTTGAGAAGATGATTTTTAAAGAATTTTCCTATCTATAGATGTCTATGTAAAACTTTAATTGGCCATTGTGGCCCCTCCCAACCCCCAGGGGTCGTGATTTGAACAAACTTGAATCTACACTACCTGAGGATGCTTCCATACAAATATGATCAATTATAGCTTTCCTTTTCTTGAGAAGATTTTTAAAGAATTTTCGTATATATTTCTATGTAAAACTTTGGTTGGCCATTTTGTCCCCCCCCACCCCTGGGGGTCATGATTTCAACAAACTTGAATCTACACTATCTGAGGATGCTTCCATATAAATATGATTAATTATAGCTTTTCTATTCATCATTCTTGAGAAGAAGATTTCTAGAAGAATTTTCTTATATATTTCTATGTAAAACTTTGGTCGTCCATTGTGGCCCCGTCCTACCCCCAGGGGTCATGTTCAAACAAACATGAATCTACAGTACCTGGGGTTGCTTCCATATGGCTTTACTATTCTTGAGAAAAAGATTTTTAAAGAATTTTCCTATATATTTCTATGTAAAACTTTGGTTGGCGGTTTTGGCCCCACCGTACCCCTAGGGGTTATGATTTGAACAAATTTGAATGTACACTACCTGAGGATGTTTTCCCGTAAGTGTCATCTTTCCTGGCACAGTGGTTCTTGAGAAGAAGATTTTTAAAACATGCCACCAAATTTTTATTAATTCCCAATTATCTCCCCTTGAATGTGGCCCTTCATTTGAACAAACTTGAATCCCCTTCACCCAAGGATGCTTTGTGGCAAGTTTGGTTGAAATTGGCCCAGTGATTCTTGAGAAGAAGTCAAAAATGTGAAAAGTTTATAGACAGACGGGCCGACGGACTACAGACAAAATGTGATCAGAAAAGCTCACTTGAGCCTTCGGCTCAGGTGAGCTAAAAACTATATACGAGGGTTGTCCCAAAAAGTCGTAGACAATGTTTATAACTTTTTTAACATGCAACCAATACTATCCAAATTTTGCACAGGCATAATATATTCAATGTTCTCTTAATTAATTAAGGTTTTCAATCCCTAATGGGACCAAATTCTCTACCCTTAAATGTCCGTCAAGTACACAATACTCTGATATTATATTAAAGCATTTTATAGTGGAAAAGGATTGTCCACGAGAAATTTTGGAAAAATTCATTAATTAAGCAGTAGTTAATTAACAAAGATTGCATTGAAGTCTATGGGGAAGGGCATTTTTTCAAAATAAAAATTCAAATAATTTGAATATCAATAAATCCTGTGGTGGAAAGATGCATTGAAATATTAAAAATAGAATGATAATTGAAAACAATTTTTTTACCAGCTAATTTTTTTTAATTGATTTTTTTTTTATTAATTAAAAAAAGGGGAGATAACTCTTACCAAAATTCAAGGTCATGAATTAGGACACATCCCACTAGATATACTTATAGTAATAAATGGGAATTATGTCTAAAAAAAACCTGAGTGTTCAATGCCTACATATCTGTTATGTTTTCAATTTCATTGAATTTCTTCCTATTAGGGATTGAAAACCTTAGGACGATTCATATGAAGGCCAATAAGGTCTATCGGCGCACGAACAAAATTCGGAATTATTTACGCATATAACTATTACATTTGCTTTTATTTCTTTAGTAATCTGTAAAACAGTGAACTGAAATTTATATCAGTGAAACCAGAATCAAAACCTTAATAATATGTCAAAAATTCATATAAATAACATTAGAAACAGACGATTGGTGTAATGATTTTCAATGTGTTGTTGGAATTGAGTTTGAGGAAAATGATGTCGTCAAACGCATAACCGGCGCACGGAGATATAAAAAATTGTTTTGTATATGGTTTACATACATCAGAAATGAGAAAAAAATGTACAGAAGTCACATGACATACTAGATTTAAATAGAGAAGTTATTTCTAAATGGCATAAAATTCAATGCGAGTTTTTCCTCTATACCGAGAATAGTTACATCATGTAAGAAGTAGAGTACTGTTTGTTAAACGCAGACAATGGGCAACAATCTGGGCCACGAACGACGTAAAACAATGTGTATTCTCTGCTGCCTACAATGTATCGCAATCTTTCGACTAAATTTCGACTGAAATTTGAATCTCCTTAAAAAAAAGCAAACAAGAAAAACCAGACGGTTGTGAATTCAAATAAGTCCCTTCGTCAAGGGTGATCTTTCACTTAAAAAAAATATATTGAATGTTAACAGACGCTTGTTAAGCAGAAAAAAAAATCATGACGCTATAAAAAACGTAATTTATGTTTGCTTTCGTGCGCCGATGTACACTTACATGCTTTCTTCTTTTTTTCATAATTTTCTTATTAGATGTGATATCATCATGCAACTTGAAATGCATGATCCTAAAATGTTACTTTTTACTATGACAAGGAAAGAAATTTAATTTAGCAAAGAAAAACTAAACTGTTTTCCCTGCCTACGACTTTTTGGGACAACCCTCATACATTATTGAACTGCAGTGATTTTTTTTTTACTCTTTTAGGCAAATTTTATAATATTTAAAATGTCAGTGTTTCAAGTATGCACCTCATTTCCTCCTTAAAGGCTAAGCAAGACAATAAATCATAGCACATCTATTAGTAGGAATGGGTATCGCCAAAAATTTGGTATCGCAATATATCACGATTTTTGTCTCAAAATATCACGATAATATCATGATATTTTTACAAACAATTTGTACAATGATTTTAAATAAACAGTCATTAATTTTTTTTAAAAATATGGTAGAAAAACTAAATTTCACTTTTTTAAAAATTTTTATGTACATAAAATTAATCAAGTTTGGATGCTAAGATGCAAATTTTTTCAACTTTTACAACATTTTTAACTTTCTGTAATTGTAATTTGAAAGATTGAACAAATAAATGAATAATTTCTGGACTTTATAAATTATAATATGTACCTATAAATACCGGTATTCAGGTCTCTGTATCACGATATGTATCACACAATAAAAATTTGCGATATACCGGTATACCAATAGAATCGCACATCCCTATCTATTAGCTGCAATAATGTAGCCCTCTCAGATTTTTGATCTGATATTTTCTGGATATCCCCTCCCCCCAAAAAAGGGAGAGGGCTACAATATTGCAGCTACTATTGGTATATGTACCTAATATACAGTATAATGCCTATTAACCACCCCAGGTGCTTAAAAAATTGCAAAATGGGGGTGGTTATTTTGGTATTCTCTTTAATATGATATTTAATGTTATATTTTAACTTTGAAAAATCTTTTGAAAAAAAAAAAAGATACAAGGAACCACTAAAATAATTTCTATCTTTACTTAAAGTGAAGGTAATCCACCCAAGTTATGCTAAATTATTCATTTTCCACCGGGAAATTGGATAATAGACAAGTTTTATTTTCACTTTCTTCAATTTTTTGATACGATTCTAGTTGATTTTAATAACTGTACAGGGGGCCCTTATTTCCTGACAATTGAAAAATACCTGAGGGGGCGCTTTGCGGCTTATAGGGGCAGGGGTGGTTAATAGGGATTATACGGTAACTATAATTTATATTATTTACGTTTTCCTGTACTCATTTTTACAATATCAGTTTACCTTTCTTGGGCGTGAGTTAGCTAACTCCCAGCCATCAGGGTTCATGGATGGCATTATGTGTATACGGGTTTTCTGTAACAACCATGTGACCGTTTCATCCTTCTCTCTGTATCCCTGACACAGATAAACCACCAGGGCCAGCAGCACCTCCCTGCTCACCACCTCATTCCCATGCATGTTACCAACGTACTTAAATTCAGGCTTTCCTGAAAACACAATTACATCATCGCAATAATCACAAAAACTTTTTTCTGAATTAATAAAATTTTAAAGCAATAGATTTACAAGTAAAATTTCAAAGGGGCCTGGACACAGTTTCAGCCAAAAATTTTCATTTCATTTTTTATGTTTAAAAATACTTAACTGAGTTATTTCTAAAGATCATCAAAATTTTGAATTTCAGTTGTCAAGATACAAGACAGATTTAGAGCTCCAAACCTTTGTTATGTAAACAAGGCTCGTGCCATGTTTTTGTTTACATAGGTTAAACATACTGATCTGTATTCGTTCAAAGCAGATTTTTTCAATAAAGAAGTTAATTCTAAATACAATTAGGCACTTTCTAATGATTTGCTGAATCTCGTTTTGTTATAATCATGATATTATCTGAATGTAAATAAAATTAAGGCACAGGCCTTGTTTGCATTATGAAGAATTTTAAGTCTTGTATCTCCCTTGTAAATCAACAAATGATGTTCAAATTTTATCTGATCATTAGAATTGCCTTAGCTAGGAATTGTAAACATTAAAGTTGTTCAAAAAAATTTCAGTTGAAACTGTGTCCATGCCCCTTTAATAAACAGCAACACAGGGTTTTCCCTTTAATTCAAAGTAAAGGGTTAGAGATAAGTTGTAACAGGCTAGAGGCTGAGGTTTATGAACAAAATCTCTGTGGACCTAACAACAAATTTTTATTTCAAAGCAGCATTTCTGTACATTGAAGCGGTCAATTTGGCCGATAGCTGGTTCTTAGGGAAAACACTGGCAACAAAGAAGACTCTTTACATTTGCATGATTAGGCTTCTGGTTTTGTAAAATATATTCAAACTTGTTTTTTCTTCATCATGTTCAAGGCAAATGAATACTACAGTAATTCCGGTGCGTTGATTTACCCAAATGGACCCAAATGGAACCCAAATGGAACCCAAATGGACCCAAATGGAAACACAAATGGACCCAAATGGAAATCAAATGGAATATTAAACATGTATTATCGTATTTCAATACTTACTTAAAATGATGAAAATAATGAACTTACAGTTACAAATGGATTTTTAAAAAAAATTATTAATCTCTAATATTGTATTTTGAAGCATGAAGTTTTGATAGTATTCTATATATCGGCAAAATTATTTGGGGGTAGGGGCGGGGGGGGGGGGGGGGGGTTGGCATGGCCTCCTCCCCTCCCCCCTTCCTTTCCTACAGCCATAAAAATATCAAATACTTCAGTTTTGTATTCAAGTATGTTCAATACTTATTACAAATAGAATTAAATCGCATTTTCATAAATACAATTGAAGAAAATAATGTTATTAAAATATTCTCTTTTTATTTTAATTTTATTATTTTCTATATTTTAAATAAGTAAAAACTTGAGAATACGATATAATACATATATTTTATATTCCATTTGGGTCCATTTGAGTTTCCATTTGGGTCCATTTGGGTTCCATTTGGGTGACCATTTGGGTTCCATTTGGGTCCATTTGGGTAAATCGACGCACCCCAGTAATTCCTATAGAACTTGGATAAATGAAACCTCTTTTAATATCTGTGATCACATACCCACAATGTGTGTACCCGGAGTATCTGCGGTGAACTCTATAACTACAAGATCTCTTCCTTCAACCGTCTTTTCATCCAGGCTGTAAATTCGGCTGATATCTGGACATAATTTGTGGGTCTTGTTCAAAATCTTCAAAACACTGTTGTATCCATGATTCCCAAAATTAAAGTTCTTCAGTTCAAATGCCCCACAAAAGACAACCCCAAGGCCAAGAAATACAGCAGCAAATAGCCGCATGTCCCTACCCTTTTCTCTAAAATATGTCTGAGACAGATTTAACTCTACGTTACCAATAATTTATGATTAAAAATCGATTATTCGCGTCATGTTTGACGTAAACAGTTCCACAAAATTAGATAGTTCGTACATCTACGGTTCGACTTCCAGATAAAGGTGTACATCAGCTGTTTCGAGTTTATCTCACCGACTCATTCTCTAACCAGAGTTGTCTTCCGCTACGCTCACTACACTGTATGTATGTGGGAGCGTAGCGGGAACGACAACTCTGGATAGAGAATGCTTGCAGACTCTGTGGTTACAGGAAAAAATACAATAACTTCAAATGGTAAATCTATAAACTTCAATGTGACAAACAAGAGCATAAAAACATGGGAAAATACATCTTTTTTTTAGGTTCAAGTTGCATGATATCGGTATTATTTAATTCTGAGAAGAATGGATGGGATTTCTTTGATGTGTATGTAAGACACTATGCGCCACTATGGCGGCAACAAAATTTGAAAAGCTATTTTTAGCATATAGGTCATAGTAAAGATCACAAGGTCATTGATCTTGGTGTCATTTGGTATAGCTGAATTAGTGAAGTATGCTAGATATCTCCTATAGTTCAAAAGTTATGGCGAAATTAAGTTTGAAAAAGCTCTTTTTAGCATATAGGTCACAGTCAAGGTCACAAGGTAATTGACCTTATTGTCATTTGCAAAAGCTTTTAATTAGTGGAGTATGCATACCAATCTCTCACGGTTCAAAAGTTATGGCGACGGTTAAAGTTGACAACGAAAGACAGAGAGACAAACAGAAAAACAGATAAAACAGACAGACATGACAAACACATTGTAGGTCTACGCCACGATCTATCGATCCGGGCGCATAAAAATTGATTTGCTGTACAAGCCTGAGTGAAATTTCAAGTCGTTTAGAACTGTAGTTCTCTGGGAAAAAAATGTATTGACAGACCTTTCTGTCAATATATTTGTTCGGAGGGCAACGATTCTGCAGCTACGAATTTTCAAGAAAACGGTGCTCTGTTAGCAGTGCATGTTATTGTACTATGTAGTATGTACTGCATTAGAATTTAAACAAAAAAGGAAAAGGACATTCTGGGAAAGACAATGGAAACAGCGGAGGAACATATGTATACCTGGTCACATAAAGCATCACTAGATCAGCTGCAAAAAGACTCTAGCAATTATAATACACGTTTTTGGAATGTGAGGACTTTAACATTTTACATGTGGTTTCTCCTTTGATCTCTTTCCAATAAAACATCTTACCTGAAAAGCCTTAAGATGACCATTATTTACAGTGGCGGATCCAGAAATTTTGAAAGGGGGGGCGACCAGTTTGAGGTCAGGGTAGGGGCCCACAGCCACACCAAAAAAACATTGATTTATCAAATATTGTGTATTTTTTTGGACTCAAAAGGGGGGCCTAGGCCCCCTGCCCCCCCCCCTCTAAATTCGCCAGTGATTTACATGTACTATGTTCTTTTTTAGTAATTAATGATAAAAATAGGATGCACCTCAAAACTTCAAACAAGATAGAGTAAATTGCAATCTGCTTAAATCAAATCCTCGATTCGCTCCTTTATTGTCCACCGCTTTTGCAAATATGAGAGGACATTAAATCTCATTCGTCTGTCCTTCTGTCCGTCCGTCAGAAAAACTTTAACCTTGGTCATATCTTTTGAATGAGAAGAGATAGTGCTTTCATATTACACATACATGTATATGAGACGAGACCTATGATTTTTGAGCACATTACCTTGAAGTTTGACCTACTTTTGAAATAATTAAACGTTACTTCGAATAAGACATAACTTATGAATGAGAAGAGACAGGGCTTTCATATTACACAGGTAAATTACCTGTGACAAGACCTTTCTTAATGCACTATAACTTTTGACCTCGTCACCTTGACGTTTGACCTACTTTTCAAAACTGTAACCTTGGTCATAACTTTTGAATGAGAAGAGATAGGGCTTTCATACTAAAGCTGATTCATGCCCTTGAAAAGACCTTTGCAACAAACTATGATTTTTTATCCCATAATCTTGACCTTGAAGTTGACATACTTTGAAAAAAATTAGATACTAGTATTACTTAAAATTGATCATAACTTTTGGATGAGACGAGATGGGGCTTTCATATTAAGGATGTGTATTTTCTGTGACAGGCTCTTTCTAAATACACTGTGACTTTTACATCATGACCTTGAACCTTGTCCTACTTTTCAAAAACTTTAATATTGGTCATAACTTTGAATGAGAAGAGATAGGGCTTTCATATCAAATCTGTGTATATTGACTGTGACAAGACCTTTTTAAATACACTATAATTTTTTACCCCGGATCTTGACCTTGATGTTTGACCTACTTTTCAAACATGTTAAATTTTCCTTATAAATTTTAATTAAGAAGACATAAGCCTTTCATATTTGACAAGTGTATTTCATCTGACAAGATATTTCAAAGCGTGCTATGATTTCTGACCCCTTGGCTATAATTATCATTCACGATTGACTTAATTAATAATTAATTATCATTCACGATTGACCTAATTTAAAAAATCAACCTCGGCGATAATTATTGAATGAAATATGATAGGGCGTTCATATCTGACACAATGTGCCACAAAAAATGACATCACCCATGAAAGCGAGACGACCACAATTCTTTGAATTTGCTTTTTTTTCATTGTCGCTTCATGATGTAACGGCATTAAACAAGAGGCCCATAGGCCACATCGCTCACCAGAGCACAGTGACTAAGAATTTAATGAGAAATCGCGTCATTTTTGACAATTTTAAATCCATATGTGGTCCCAACCTACCCTTAAAGAGGATGAGGCCATGTTTTGATTGCTTGAATCTACACTTAGGATGTTTGTATATTTCTTTGACTAAATGCAGGTTTTTAACCTTTTAAAGTTGAACTTACACTGTGATTCCACCCTAAACCCCCAACCGGCCTCCTCCAACCCGCCTGGTCATGAATTGAACAAATCGAAATGGTAAATATGCACAACCTCAGAATGCTTCCATATAAATATGTCCAATCATGACTTTGCTGTTCTTGAGAAAAATATTTTTAAATTTTTTTTCTACATATTTCTATGTAAAACTCTGCTTGTCTTTTGTGGCCCCGCCCTACCACAAGGGGCCATGACTCGGAGAAATTTGAATCTTCACTACCTGAGGATGTTTCCACACAAATATGACCAATCATGGCCTTGCTATTCTTGAAAAGACGATTTGAAAGATGTATATGTTTCCTCATAAGTTTCATCTTTCCTGGCACGATTGGTTCTTGAGAAGATTTTTAAAACACTCCACCAAACTTTTCACTGTTTCTAAAGTATCTCTCCTTGAAGGATGTGGTCCTTCATTTGAACAAACTTGAACCCCTTCACCCAAGGATGCTTAGTAGCAAGTTTGGTTGTAATTGGCCCAGTAGTTCTGGAGAAGAAGTCGAAAATGCGAAAAGTTTACAGATGGACGGACAGACAGACGGACTACGGACAAAGTGTGATCAGAAAAACTCACTTGGGCTTTCGGCTCAGGTGAGCTTAAACTAAAGGAGCAGATCAAGGATCTGGTTTAATCAGATTGGAGTAATTTGATGATTCACATTTGATGATCCGATTTTTGATGTAAAATGGAATAAATGAAATTGAGCAAGTTTCTCAACATATTCAATGTAACACCAATATTTCATCCCCCCCCCCCCCCCCCCCCCCCCCCCCCCCCGCCAATTTATATACTCAGTACTACACAAAAAAGAAACGCATATTGTTTTACTCGTCAAAGAAATTTTGAAAATGTACATGGAATAAACTATATTTTTTATCATTGGATACCTGTGACCTATTTAACGGACAACATGGGGTTTTAAAACCCAAGTGTTGAATTATCTCCCTTGATTAAACGTGTTTATGAAAGTAATGTTTTTCATGATTTCTTCTAAATCGGGTGTCTATTTTCATTGATATTTTGGACTTAAAGATACTACAAACGCTTCTATTTAACCCATATTTAAGATTTGATTGCAGTGTTGATGCTGCAATGCCACACCGAAATAAAGATGAACACAACCAGGCTAACGATGATACTAACCGGAGCTACGCCACAGGAAGTTGCAACTGCATTTGGAATACATCAATGGGCTTTGCAGCCGTTAAACGTTCGTCGGAAGACTAAAAACTGACCGTCCGCAGGTAGCCACACCCAGACAGGACCGTTTGACCCCCCCCCCTTTTTTCAGCACCTCAAGCGATTCAGAACAGCTCTAAAAACTGCTGCTACAATTGCTGAATGAAAAAATTAGCATAAAAGTGCATAAATTGTTCGCAAGAGACTGAGAGGAGCTGGTATTCGTGCATGATATCCGTACATTGGAAATCCACCAGCGCGTAGACGTCGCAAAGGACATATGGGTTGGTTAAGATGGTATGCCCCTAGAATTTGGAGTTCACTTTTCTACTCGCAACACATGATATCTTTAATTTTTATAAAAACCCTCTAAAATCACTTTTTTTTAAAAAAAAAACTTAGCTTATCATGATTAATCTGAATATGCGTGTCTTTTTTTTGTTGAGTATATATAAAGCAAATAGTGCTTTCAGTCATTGATGCATCACTGTGTCATACTACACAGCGTACGAACATTTTTCCTGCAGAAGTATCATATATAGGTATACTGCAGAATGTTGAAGTAGAAAAGTTCAATATGGGACCTTTATTTGAAAAGTCAGAAAAAAAATCATAGAGTGTTTAGAGCTTCCTTGTATGTTAAATTCCTGGGATGAGTGTTGGTGAATTAATTGTAGCTGAACTAATATTAGTTGCATTAGAATATCTAAAAAATAATAAAATTTAGATTCTTTATAACGATTTTTAAAAGATCTAAATTATTATGCGCCCGGATCGATATATCGGGTGTCTATTGTTTTTGTCCTATCTGTTTATCTGTCTTTCTGTTGTCAATTTTAACCTTGGTCATAACTTTTGAACCGCGAGAGATAGAGATTTCATATTTGGTAGGCATACTCCACTAATTAAATTCTTTCAAATGACACCAAGGACAATGACATCGTGACCATGACTGTGACCTATATGCTAAAAAT